AGTATTTTTGTGTATTAGACTAAATATCAGGACCACTACTTGGCTCCTAATTTAAAAAAAAAATTATTTCCATTTATTTATTTGGCTGTGTTGGGTCTTAGTTGTATTGCAAGGGCTGTAGAGTGCAGGCTGCAGTAGTTGCAACACATAAGGTCTCTAGTTGTGGCCCACAGGCTTAGTTGCCCTTTGGTATGTGGGATCTTAGTTCCCTGACCAGGGACTGAACCCGAGACCCCTGCATTGCACAGCAAGTTCTTAACCACGGGACCATCAGGAATGTCCCCTGGCCCCTGGTTTAATCCCAAAGATTCCACATCTGCATTTCCCGGGACCCCTTCCTCTCCTTCCAGCTACCCTTCCGGTGCACTTTTTCTTTCTCTTTTGACATCAAAGTATTCCACCTAGTCAGTGTCTCTGGATTTGCTTGCATCCGTTGGTGACTCACCCTAATTTCTCTCTGTTTGGAAGCCTTGAATTTTATTTCTTGTTAACCTCCTTTGGGCTTCCCCGGTGACTCAGTGGTAAGGAATCTGCCTGCAATGCAGGAGATGTGGGTTCGATCCCTGGGTCTGGAAAATCCCCTGGAGGAAGAAATGGCCACCCATATCCAGTATTATCCCGTGGACAGAGGAGCCTGGTGGGCTACGGTCCATGGGAATGCAGAGTTGGACATGACTGAGCGACTGAGCTCACATGCATGTCGCCCTCCTTTATCCCAATATCTCGTTACTTTCTTTCAAACTCTCTGTGGTTCTTGGGGGCCCCATGTCTGCCAGGGAGAAGTGAGAAAGCCCCTGGGCCATGTTTCAAAAGACACATCAGGAAATTCTGAACATGTTTTGAAACTTCTAGTAATTCTGTGGGATTACGGAGGTTTATACACCGCATTCCACATTTCTCCCTTGGTATTCTCACATCCTTCTGAAATGTCAAAGGGGCTAGATTTTCCTTATCCAGATATTAAACATGTATGAAAACTCTAGGGGAGAGGGATTAAGATGGTCAGTCTGGTTTCCCTTTTCAAATGTACTGTGGCCATAGGACTATTAATGTAGATTTCCATTATTATTTGGCAATAGGGTACAAATATAATAGTAGCTTTTTATCTCTTGTTTTTAAAAAGTTTTATGGAGAGTTAGGGTCATTCTCCCCCGCCCCCCGCCCGTGTGGAGGGCTATAAGGCACTTCTCCCATAATTTTTGTAGGTCTTGTGAGATAAACAGGACTAACATTGTTGTATGCAAAAGCAGACTTTGAGAAATGAAATTTCGGAAGCAGCATATTTCTGTGAGGTTCGTATGCTTAACAGCTTGCTGTGTGATTATCACGTGACATCGTGAGATTGGGCTGTAGAGTGCTCGCTTGGCTCAGTCGTGTCCCGCTGTTTTGTAACCCCGTGGACTGCGGCACTTCAGGTTTCCCTGCCACAGTATCACCCGTTCTCGGAGCTTCCTCTTACTCATGCCATTGATTTGAAAGGCAGCGGCGTGGGTGTGAGAAACCTCTGAGAACGGGTGATAGACGGGGAAAGTTGAAGTGCTGCAAGCAGTCTAAAAAAAAAGAAAAAAAAAATAAAATAAAAAGTTTTGTGATGAAACAATAGGTCACATTTATCAGTACTAAGATTATGCCAGGCATGGCATTCAGTACTTTCTGTGGCTTAGTTCATTTGACCCTGATACAACCTGAGAAATAGGGTCTATTATTATCCACATTTTATAGGTAAGAGATACTGGATAGAGAGCTGGGTCTTCTTTACAGATTTATGACTGTTTTTGTTGATGATAAACTTCTCTGAGAGAAGTGGGAATCTGGAGTGAATTTGGTCAAATAAGCAGTTTGTTGTTGTTTAGTTGCTGAGTCGTGTCGACTCTTTGTGACCCCATGGACTGTAGCCTTCCAAGCTCCTCTGTCCATGGGATTCTCCAGGCAAGAATACTGGAGCGGGTTGCCATTTCCTTCTCCAGGGGATCTTCCTGACCCAGGGATCGAACCCAGGTCTCCTGCATTGCAGGCAGGTTCTTTACCATTTGAGCCACCAGGGAAGCCTACTACATGGATTGAGTATCAAGAAAAACCACCTGTGGGAAAAACAGTTTTGTTTAAGTACCAGACTCTTCAACTTTAGGTGTGAGTGTCAGAGCCAGAATTAATGCACACCGAGGTGAGTGTGGACAGGACTGGCTGGTCCCACAGCTGATGGGTAGGAGTTGTAGACTCTGGCTCAGTATTTGAGCCCTTGCCCATGCATAGAGTTGCCCTGAATGGCCTGAGCTGCCTTAGGGGGTTGGAAGAGCTTGACTCTTAAGCTTTACCGGGGTCCCCAACAACAACCTTGTGGAGCGTCCCACGGGGTTTCCATCCCCAAGAGCGATGTGTCCAAGACCCCTTTAAATGCACAAATGGTACAATTTGGAGGGCCCTCCTAGCTTTCCCTCTTTATCAGTCTCTAAGAATCCTCCACGCAAGGATGGTTGGCTCTGCCTCAAACGTACCCACAATGCAGCAATGCATTGAAGGTTCTCAAACAGGTGAGTTCCCCGAATCCCCTTTTCCTCTGCTCCCAGACTACCTCTCCTCCCGGCTTCCTGGCTTCTGTTATATCACCACCATCGTCCAGCTTTCCACACTGTGTCTTGGTGTCTCCCCTACAAACGTCCCTATTGCTAATTTTCCCCCTCTCTCTTGCCACTGTACGCTGTCCCTTCCATTCAGAACTTAATGAACAACGTGCCTTAGTCTGCTGGTCCCCATTCTGAGCCCCTTTCACCCATTTCATGCCAGATGATTACCTGCATTTCCTTTTTTAAAATTTAAATATTGATTTATTTATTTTGGCTGTGCTGGGTTGTTGTTGCTGAGCAAGGGCTTTCTCTCATTGCTGCGGGTGGGGGCTACTCTCTAGTTGCGGTGCACAGGCTTCTCATTGCAGAAAACAGACCCCAGGGCACTCGGGCTTCGGGGGTTGCAGCAAGTGGGTTCCACAGTTGGGGCATATCGACTTGGTTACCTTGCAGCGAGTGGAATCTTCTTGGATCAGGGATCGAACTGGTGTGCTCTGCCTCGCAAGGCAGAATTTCTAAACCACTGGACCACCAGGGAAGCCCCTTTGTCTCCACTTCTTGGCCCACATATTTATCCTCATAACCAGTTGGCTGAGACAGAGAAACTCACACACGTATACCTATCCCGAGAGGGCTCCCATCTTCAAGTACTTATTATAGTCATGTCTCTCCCTTAATTGAACTCCTCTGGGGTCCAGAGCAGCAAAGTTCAGCATTTTCTTATCCCTCTGCACTCACTACTTGAAAGGATTGTACTTATTTATTTGTTGATTTGCTGGTTGTCTGCCTTCACCCAGTTCTGAGTCTGAGATGGCAGCTCCTTGTCTGGTATCCCCCCTGGGGACCAGCCATAATACCACTGCCTGAGACCAAGAGCCAGCCTGCAAGCATTTGAGAAGTGAATGGAGATGTATCCATCTCCTAACTCCACTTCGAGTTACAGAGCAAGAACTGGGTCTTAGAATACGCCTGCAATTCGAGAATGACATCTAGCTGAGCCCGTGGGTTCCAGACCTGTCCCTCTCCAGAGTGCCATAATTCAGAGGCACTTCAGTGGAACGGGCCCCGCGGGTCTTCATTTCAATCAGTCTCATTGGATTTGTTTTGACTGGAGATCTTGTTGCCTCTTTTTAAAATACTCCCTTGGGCGCTTTTGAGCACTTGAGACCTCTTGGCAGGCCAGGCATTTCACCCCATCAGGAAATCTCATCAAAATGATATTAGGTTGTGCACATCAGGAAAAGAAAATCCTCCAAGAGATGTTGCTGTTCTCTAGTTTGGCTTTGGATGTAGTTGGTAAAGCCCATTCAGAAGGCATTTTGACCACATGTGAGCTGGATGGCAGAATCTCCCAATAAAAAATGATATGAAAAATAAGAGTGGGAAAGAGACCTCCCTTCCTCCCCACCTCCAAAGGAATTTCTCTAGGTATAGGCCAAAACGGAATTCAAGAGAAGAGCGAAGCACCAGTTTGGGGTGTGAGACTTCTGTCTCCAAGGGCTGAGTAGTGACCAAGCAGGCTGGCCAGACTGTGACTTGCCCTCCCGTGGAGGGTCTTGCCGTGTATTTTTTTGGTCTGGCCTCCTCCTGGCTCCACCTTGTAAACTATACTCGAAAACCGCATCATGGCGGAACGACTTTTACTCAGGGTTCTCACTTGCATGAGATTTCCCAGGCATTTTTCACATCATTTGGTCTGGACTTCCTTCCAGAAGAAAAGGACATAGTTTCCCCTTCTTCCGGGGGTAGCTTCTGAATCTCTTTATTTACTTTTTTAAAAGTTGATTAATTAATTTATTTTTTGGATGTGCCCCATGGCCTGTGGGATCTCAGTTCCCTGACCAGGGATCGAACCCGTGTCCCCTGCAGTGCAAGTGTGGAGTCTTAACTGCTGGACCTCCAGGAAAGTCCCTGAATTTATTTCTTTTTAATTTTTATTTTATATCGGAAGATAGTTACAATATTGTGATAGTTTCAGGTGTAGAGCAAAGAGCTTCAGTTATTCAGATACATGGGTTCATTCTTCTTCAGACCCGTTCCCACATAGGTTATCACAGAATATTGAGTCGAGTTCCCTGTGCTATCCAGTGGCGTGTGTGTGTTAATCCCAAACTCCCGAGTTATCCCCCGCCTCTCCCCTCTGGTGACTCTACGTCTCTTTCCTAAGTCCGCTCCTGGTTTATAACAAGTTCATTTGTGTCATCTGGACGCTCCTTAAACCCAGTTGTCACCACGGCCCGGCTCTTCCCAGCTGTGGTCCCACCCGTGCCGCTCACGCTTGCTGTTCCAGGGCAGAGCGGAGCACTCCAGGGGGCGACGGGGTGGGCCGGGCGCCATGGGGGTGGCAGGGCCCCGCTGCCCACACCCCTGGCCGCCCGCTCTTCCTCTTCCCGGCTCGTCTTCCGCTCTCACGCTCTGGTGTGTCTCTCCTTTCAGAGGTGTGAACATGTATGCCATGCTGACCGGGACCCTGCCTTTCACGGTGGAGCCTTTCAGCCTGAGGGCCTTGTACCAGAAGATGGTGGACAAGGAGATGAACCCGCTCCCCGCCCAGCTCTCCACAGGTAAGGCACCTGCCGCTCCAGGGTCCAGGGCCGCCCTCCGGCCTCCGGAAGCGGTGTGTCTCCTGCAGCTTTGGTGTCTGGACGGCCCTGTGTCTTCCTAGTATGAAAATGAAGTCTCCAGACAGCGTTGGGTTTCCCATCTCTAAGGACACACGTCCCCTTCATCTCCTCTGAGTCCTTTCCGTGTCGGTTATAATTCTGACCCCTAACTTTGTCCTTCCTCCTCCTACACATAGTACACACCTATCAAAGGATCGTATAGTCTCCCTTGGAAAGATAATTGCAGGCTGAATTGTGTTCAAACTTACCATATTATAACGTTGACTCGGAAAAGAGAAGGTTGATCATCACATTTCTATTGTCTTCCTTAGTCAACTCACAATAGAGAACTATTAGTTTCACTTGAGTTTGTTCTGGGATTTGTTTACCAATGTGAGTTTCCGAGTCTGTTCAAAAGCTTTTAAATATATATGGGTTCGGTTACTTGATTAGACTGAATCCTCAGGTGTGTTTGGAAATTACTCTCAAACTTTAGCTGGTTCACATTTCAGTAAACAGTTCATGTTAAGGTTTGGTTTCAGATCCAGGAAATGAGTGCAATTTATTCTTTTGTTTGGTTTGCAATTCACTTCAAGTTCCTGGCCTCAGCTTGGCCTCGATGGTCATTTAATTGGCTCCTTAGAATAAACTCAGCTTCACTGAGATAAGGCATGTGGCCAAAAAAGAAAAAAAGGAGTAATTATTTAATTTGAACTTATGATACATGGTTCAAATATGGCATTTTTGTTTGACTACTATTAGGTTTTTGGTTTTTTTTTGTTTTTTGCTCGAGTTTATAAAGCATCCATGAAGCTGACCTAGAATTTATGCTTGCCAAATGGCACCCAAGCTGAAATGCATTCTTCTGTAATTACCTAATTTGGTTCATTCTTTCACCTCTGCTGAGGCGGGTTGAATCTCTGGAGGCTGAAAGCAAAGCAGGCATTGTGTACTTGGGAAGATGAGTTATGTTTCTGTTGTTGTAAAAGGAATAGTTCTGCACTGAGACCTGTAACTCTTGGAGTTAGAAAATGTGCAAAATGTTGATCAAATTATTTTGTTTAGGTTTTAGAGCTTGCCAAAATGTTGAAAGTGCTGCAATGAAAGCACATTCATCCATTCATATTTCACATTCATTCACTTATTCCACAAATCAATCCTGGGAGTCAACTTGGTGCCAGAGATGTTCTAGGCACCAGGAAAACAAAACAGTCTCTATCCATGTAGAGCTTACATATCAGCAGAGGAGGCAAAAAATAACAGATAAACACATGGGATGTTTAGTAGCTTAAGTGCTCTAAAGAAAATTAGAAAGGGGCTTTCCTGGTGACTCAGTTGTAACGAACCCCACTGCCAGTGCAGGAGACACGGGTTCAATCCCAGGTCTGGGACGATCCCACGTGCCTCAGAGCAACTAAGGCCCAGCACCATAATTGCTGAGTGCACGCACCACAGCTGCTGAAGGCAGATGCCACAGAACCTCTGCTCTCCAGGAGAGGCCGCTGCAACGAGAAGCCCATGCGCCACAGCTGGAGAGAAGCTTCGCAGCAGTGAAGGCCCAGAATAGCCAAAAATAAAGGAAGAAAGTAAGATACACAAGGATAAGGGGACAGGGAACAAAGATACAGTTGGGCTTCTTTTTGTTTCTTGGTTTTTTAGCCAATTAAGGTTTTTAGAAACCTTTTTGTTGTGTTGTTATTGTGGACTCACATGCAGTTGTGAGAAATCATGCAGATATGTTCATCCTTCACCCAGTTCCCCCCGTTGATGGGCTCTTAAATAACTGTAGTTTAGTGTTGCCACTAGGACACTGTTAAAATCCATTGACCTTATTCAGATGAACATGCACTTGTGTTGGTGTGTATTTAATTCTCTGCAGTGTCATCACCACATGTGTAGATTCATGTGGTAATTAAGTCAAGGTATGGAACAATTCCATGACCAGAGTTCCTTATCTTACCCGTCTATAGCCTGAGCCAGCTCCCTGCCTCCCACCTTGCCTAACCCCTGGCTACCATTAACCTGTTCTCCAATTCTGTAATTTTATCTTTTCAAAAATCCCTTATATTTATATCTCTTTTTTTTTTCACTTAGCATAATTCCTTTGGGATCCATCCAAATTGTTTCACATACCAATCCTTTGTTTCTTTTTCTTGCTGAGTAGTAGTCCATGGTATAGATTTACCATAGTGTATATATTTACCCATGGAAGTATATTCAGTTGTTTCCAGATACTATGAATAAATCTGCTGTCAACATTTATATATAGGTTTTGTGAGAACATGTTTTCACTTGCCTGAGTGAAATTGCTGGGTTATATAATAAACGTATAATTGGTTTTGTAAGCAACTGCTGCATTTCTGTTCTGAACGGCTGTACCATTTTGCGTTCTTTCTAGCAAGGCATGAGTGATCCAGTTTCTCTGCATCCTTGCCAGCATTTGGTATTCTCACTGTTTTTAATTTTAGCCATTCTGATAGGGATCTAGTGGTCCCTCATTGTGGTAACAAATAAAATTTAATACTTACAAATAAATGCAATCTTTCAAGGTAGTCTCTTTAAGAGTGATATAATCATAAGTACTTCATCTTTCGGAGTGATTTTGAAGTTCCTCTTATCGTTCAGAGCCTGTTTTGTCCTAAGTGTCCCAGTACAAAGAACAATAGGAGGTTGTTTCTAACCTCATGCCTGGAAGAAGCAGACAGTGTTCACTGTGAATTCCAGTGAGACCCTGAAGAGCTAGAGCTGCTTCTCATTGTACTAGTCAGGATAGCCTAGGTTATGCTGCAATAACAAATAGCCCCCCGATCTCAGTGGCATAAGACAACAAAGATTCTTTTTTTCCTGTTGGTTGTGCCATGTAGCATGCAGAATCTTAGTTCTCCGAGCAGGGATTGAACCCATACCCCCTGCCTTGGACGCTCAGAGTCCTAACCACTGGACAACTAGGGAATTCAACCATTCATGTCTCATTCATGCCACATATCTATGGAGAGTTGGATCAAAGGTTGAAGGATTCTGCTCATTCTTGTCAGTCAGAGTCCCAGACCAATGGGGCAGCCACTATTTCAAATGTGTCTGATTCATGCAGAGGGAAACAGAAATCTAGAAGGTCTCTTTTCAGCAGTGAAGTCTCCCACCAACATTCCACTCATAATTTGTAACTTTCTAAAACATTTCACGAGGTTTCACCCAGCTAAAGGAGCTGAGGAAATGCAATCCTATCATGTGTCTGGAAGGTGAAAAGCCAGAAATATCTGATCAAGCAGCATTACTCGTGTGAGCCACAGGCTGTGGGAGGACGGGGTCCCTGCCATCAGCACTGGGGTGGGTCGGGCAGCAGGGCAAGGACAGGTTGACTAAAAGGTAATCAGTTTCACTGCTTCTGAACCAGCCTTGTTTTTATCCCAGTGCTATTACTCACATTAGCAGGCTAGGCTCTGGGTGCCTTCTTATTGTGACAGTTAAATTTACCTTTAAAGAAGTAAAAGTTGCATCCTGAAAATATCTTTTTTTTAAAGTCCGAAGGAAACAAAAGAAATATTAGAAATGTTCCAAGCAATTTCGGTATCATTGGAGTTGATATGCAGTCTCATGTAACTCTTGCTTGGAACAGAGAGTTTTGATTTCGGCCTTAAACTCTCTGTATGCTTTTTAGAGATCTTCATATCCGTACAGGACCTTATAGTCTTGACTGGCCAAGCATGAACAGCATGAAATGCATTTTTATATCTGATTTTATGATACAGGAATTTGGACATCGCCCTCCTCCCCTTTTGACTTCCCTGATGGCTCAGTGGGAAAGAATCTGCCTGAAGTGCATGAGACCTGGATTCGATCCCTGGGTTGGGAAGATCCCCTCGAGGAGGGTATGGCCACCCAGTCCAGTATTCTTGCCTGAAAAGTCCCATGGACAGAGGGGCCTGGTGGGCTACAGTCCATGGGATTGCAAAGAGTCAGACACCACTGAGCGACTAACACTTTCACTCCCCCCTTTTATTCTCTTACTATTCCAACACAGAGGGTTAAAGCTTGAGATGAGTAGATGTTTCAGTTCAGTTCAGTCGCTCAGTCGTGTCCAACTCTTTGCGACCTCATGGACAGCAGCACGCCAGGCCTCTCTGTCCGTCACCAACTCCCAGAGTTTACTCAGGCCCATGTCCATTGAGTTGGTGATGCCATCCAACCATCTCATCCTCTGTCGTCTTCTTCTCCTGCCCTCAATCTTTCCCAGCATCAGGGTCTCTTCCAGTGAGTCAGCTCTTCGCATCAGGTGGCCAAAGGATTAGAGTTTCAGCTTCGGCATCAGTCCTTCCACTGAATATTCAGGACTGATTTCCAATATAAGATAGGTAAATATCTACTCATCTCAGGCTTTAACCTTTTGTGCCAGCTTTGTGCTGTCAAGCATCATGTTGGCACATAGTAGTTGCTCAGGGAATCTAAGTCTCTGGCCCTTGTGTTAAAGTGTGTGGCCTGGGAAGGCAGCCCACAGATTCATTTGGCTACTTAGATGTGGAATCTGGCCTGATCCAGTAGGGCCCAGAACTGCACCCTTGATGCTGAGGAAGCTCAGCTCATCTTCTCTCTCTTATAGAGTGAAGGACATCAGTTTTGGGGATCAGCCACTGCTTTCCTTCAGCCCCCTGCTTCTCCAACTCTTTGTTATTTGCACCCCAAGTTTACCACTTTTTCCTTCCACCATGCCTGGCCCACCTTCCTCTGTGGTACCATATGACATCAGCTTGTTTACATCCCAGAATACTAGCTTCCAGTAGCAGGAGTGGCTGCCATTTATTGAATGGCCCTGGGTAAGTGCTTTTCATAGTATCTTCTGTTCTCATAACAACTCTGTAAGTTAAGCTCTATTATTCCCAATTGACCAAGGAGGAACTGGGACTTGCTGAGTCCCAGCAAAATTATATAGCTTCTCCAGTTTTTTATTTATTTCCCTTTGACCC